AAGCGAGGGTGGTCAAAAGCGAGGTAGGTTTGTTCGCCCCCTATAATCGGCGGGCTGTTGTTGTTTAGCTAGTCGGGGGTCTTTCCAGTCTGCCCATGTCCAGGGCAATCAGGGGCACCTCCGTTCCCCTGAGATTGTTCATGGGGGAAGACCATTGGCGATGCTAGGTTGAAACAGGGCAGAAAAGATCATGCCAACCTCCCTTCCACGAGTGCCACGTTACTAGCTTGTTGGAAGCTGGGCACCCTTGCTATCTGAGGACAGCATGCCCCTCTTCATTGATGGGGCACGTCTCAGGTCCCCTCCCCCTCCCTTGGATTGACCCGGCTTTTTCGAAAGAAGGGTGGGGAGAGATCAAACACCTCTCGGCGTAGAACCCAATAAGATACTACCCTCAAAGTTCCTCCTGCGTGCGCTCCAGATGCCTTGGTGCGCACATCGTGCATGCATGCCACGAAGTGAATGGGAAGCGTGGAGACCTGCTCTGCAGGGGAGTGCCTTTTTGTGCCAGGTCCGTGCGTGTGGCTGACGACGTTTCATGTGTAGCCGTTTGCCTCATGTGTTCTTCCGTATTCCGTTCGCGTGGCGGCGGATGTTCCTACGAATGGCACCGCGCGCACGTCACCTCCGTGGGCGTTCCTTGGACCCTGCTGTTCCGGAAGGGTGGGTCGTTCGGTGGAGGCGGGGTGCAAAACGAGTTACCTGCACAATTTTTCAATGACGCAGTCTCTCGTGTCGTGTTGTACGGTCCTCCCCTTTTTGTCCCGCTTCTGTATAACATGGCTTGTCCTTGTGGTGTATGACTTTTGATCGACCGACCGACCGAGAAGGTGGAAAACGAGAAAGAGGATAATGACAGGATTACAAAGGGGGGGGCGAAGGGTGGCGGGTTGAAGGGGGAGGAGGATAGATAGGGAGGATAAGAAACAGGAAAACGAGGAGGAGGAGGAGGATAATGCGATGTAGGAGGAAGAGTAACCAGTAATGATGACGTATGGCGACGGTGATGATGGCGATGACGAGATGGTGGTTGTGGAGGATGATGACGATGATGATGTTGATGCTGATGATGACGAGGACATTGATTATATTGGTGGTGTCGATAATGATGATGACGATGATGACGGTGGTGATGATGACGATGATGATCATCATCATCATCATCATCATCATCTTGTTGATGATGAAGATGCTGATGTGGTGGACGACGACGACGATGATCATGATGATGATGATGATGATGATGATGATGATGATGATGATGATGATGATGATGATGATCATGTGGTAAGATTGACGATTGTGATGGTTATGGTGATTGTGACGGTAATGATGGTGATGATGTGATGGTGATGGCGATGGGAAAGGAGGTGAAGCAGGCGGAGGGCGACGAGTCGAAAAAGGACGTCGAGACTTTTCTAGGAGGTCGGGAGATCGTGCCGCATCGCCGATGCATATGCGCCGATGCGGCGCAGACGCCGTTGCTGCGATCCTCCGACACCTTTTTGTTGCTCGGTGCACTCGGACCCCATTTGGGAGGCGTCTGGTTTCGGGGGCCCACGTCACCGAAAGCACGGTGACGCAGGATGTGAGGGCATCTGCATCTTCGGAGGCCGGTGGGCAAGCACCCTCGGCCCTGGCCAGGCTTCTCCCAGGCCCCGGGCCCGTGCGCTGGGCCCTCCCCGCCTCGGGGCTCCTCGGCAGCGGACCCGTCCGGGGCGCCGCTCGGGCCCGGACCCTCTGCGTGGGTCCTGGGCTCACACGGGCTGTCCGCCTGGATATCGGCGGCCTGGGCCGGCCCGGCCTGCCAGTGCTGATCGGTGGCGGCGTGGGCCGCCCAGGCCGCCCGGTGGTGCCGGAGCGGAGGGGGCCAGAGGAGCGCGCCGCCTCGCAGGCGCATCGGTGCTGCGTCGCGGCCTGGGCGCCCGATGCTCTCCGCCCCGAGGTCGCCGACGCGGCGCGCTCCTCCGGGCCCGTCAGTACCAGCCCCACTCGGGCGGCCTTCCTGCGCGAGGGGGCGAGGAGAGGCGCCCCCTTTGGCTCCCCCCGGCCGGCCCGTCCGACGCCACCGTCGCGGCCTCCTCGACGGGCCCCGCGACCGCTGCCACGACCGCCTCGACGACCGCCGCGGCGACCCCTGCCCCTGGGCCCTCCGACGCCACCGTCGTTGCCTCCTCGACGGGCCCCGCGACCGCCGCCACGACTGCCTCGACGACCGCCGCGGGGACCCCCGCCCCCGCCCCACCCGCGTGGCCGACCTCGACCTCCACCTCCACGACGTCGAGGACGCCCACCGCGACTACAACGACCTCCTCGACATCGACAACGACCAGGCGCACGTCCACCTCCACCGCCGAGTCCTCCGCCGCGGCGGACACAGGCTGGTGGTGGACCGCGCCCACGGAGCCGCCGCCGGCGCCCGCGCCGCGGCCGACGCCCGCGGCTGACCCAGACTGGTGGTCGGTGGATCAAAAGATCAGGCAGTGTCGTTGCATCCTGGCTTGCCTACAAGCCCACCAAATAATGTTATATATATATATATATATAAGAGCCTGTCGCGGTTTTCACGACATGTTCTCAGAACATTTCTGGCTGAGACCGTATTGTTTCAACACGTCGATTCGATGTTACAAAGACATTGCATTGTTTTTGGAACATACTTTTGTTCTATAGACATATCGTGGTAGGCCTAGGAATGCCGGAACAGACGGTCCCTGCTGGAAAGGAGTAAGTCCTGATGGATGGGGCCCTAGGGACGAGGTGCCCCAGATATTGTGAATCGTCACCCTTGGATCCCTTCCCTTCCCGAGGCCCCCATCCCTCAGGGCCCCATTTTTGGAACCACCGAGGTGGTGGACCGCGCCAACGGAGCCGCCACCTGCGCCCGCGCCGCGGCCGACGCCCGTGGCGGAACCCGACTGGTGGTGGACCGCGCCCACGGCGCCGCCGCCAGCGCACGCGCCGCGGCCGACGCCCGCGGCGGGCCGGCCGTGGGCTTCCAAGCCCACGAAGTGGAGGCCGGAGCCAGCGGCGGTGCCTCGGATCGGGGCTCAAGAGGCGGGGGTCAACGCACCGGGGGGGTCCGCCAGAGCGCCGGCGCAATTGCAAGCTCCTGCAGGGCCAGGGTCGCATCGACCCGGGCTCGGGTGCAGGGGATCCGGCAGGAGTTGGCCAGATCCTGCAGGGCCCGACTGACCCGGGTCTGGATTGGCCCGGGTCTGTATTTAGATGCCCGAGCGGACGGAGGGAGCCGGACCCACACGCAGCGCCGTGGGTGAGAGCAGGTTGCGCGTGCGAGTGGCCTTTTCACTGGTGTGGCCTTTGGGTGCGTGCCCACGGGGGGGCCCCCAGCGCTGGCCTGCGCGCTTGGATTCGGTCCCCCAGCGGCCCCCGCTCCGGGCACGGGCAACCATGACGTGCAGCTGAGAGAGGGGGGGTCTCTTAGTGGGCCCTGGAAACGACAGGGCAATTTTTTTAACGGTTCCGTTTTGCCGTTTTTTTGCCGGTTCCGACGCCGTTTTTTTTACAGGTTCCGTCGCCGTTTTTTTACCAGTTCCGGCTCCGGTTCCAATATTGGAGCCGTTTTTTTTGCCGTTTCCGGTCGCCTTTGTTGTTGCCGTTCCCATTTTTAAGGGGCACTTTTTTGGAACGGTGAAAAGACGGCCCTGCCGTTTCCGGGGCCCACAAAGGTCTTGAGGGGAGCCGTGCCCCAGGGTTCTAGGCCTCCCAGATCGGGTCCGAGTAGATGGGGTCCAAAGATCGCGCCGCATCGCCGACGCATCGCCGATGCATCGCCGACGTCTGCGAAGCATCGGCGGCGTCGGCGTGGAGAGTCGGCAAAGTACGCGTAAGGGTGACCAGTCGTTGGAGTGACTTTCAGTGCGGGACCATTGGAGTCCCCCCAGCAGTGACCTGCACACTTGGATTTGGCATCCCCGCGGCCACCCAAAGCCGCGCACCAAAAGGTCACTCTTGCCCAGGGTCACCCTTGCGCGCAGCCAAGAGAGGGGGGTCCCAAGGTTCCAGGCCTCCCAAATTGGTCTGAGCAGTGGGGTCGGAGAATCGCGCCACATCGCCGATGCACCAGCCTTGCGGCGCGATACTTCGACCCCATTTGGGCTCTACAAGGCTCCCTACGTAGCCGAAGAACAGAAAATGTAACGCACATATCCGTGCGGATTTCTTCGGTCGGCGATGGGCCCCCCTGGCGGCTCCTCCGGCGCCGCCCATGGCGCGCTCCGCGCGCCAGGGAGGGGGATCCAGCACCGATCCAAGAGATCCGCGCGGACCTCCGAGAAACTCTGTTTGTGCTGTTCGTTGTAGTTGTTCCTCTGCCTGGGCAGCTTGTCGTGAGGGTGCCGTAGATTGCTTGTAGCGCCTGGTGGGGGGCGCCGGGCCCCCACGATCGGTGGCCCATCGTGGCCCCCCAGCGCGAGTTTCGTGGAGCTGGTTAGGGTGCTCTGCCGCAGGGATGTCATGTTTCGTCGCCGCCGGGCTCCTGGGGTCCCCCCCCCCGGGCCCGGTGAGCTCGGGACGATCCGGGCCCCCCCCGGAGCGCTGTCGGCGAGGCGCGGCCGCGGCGAAGCACCCCGAGGCCAGAGAACGGACGAGGGCCCACGGTGGCGCCCGACAGCCTCGAGCCTCGAGCGCCCGAAACGCTCCCCCCCCCCCCCCCACCTGCGCCGATCGCCTCCTGGTTTCTGCCGCAGGGCCCCCATGGGAGCGTCCGAGAATGGCTGGGGATGCGAGGCTGATCTTGGGGGAGGCCCGGTGTCCAGGGTCTGTGCCTCGGATCAAGCTTAGACGCTGCGTTCTGGCCCGCCTATGAGGGAACACACAAAAACGCTGCCTGAGACCGTGTCGTGGTTTGTGACATGTGCGCTTCCACGATCGTTGGCTGAGACGCCTTGTGCTCAGACATCGCTTCCAGGCTCTGAGGACACGGCCTCTGTCATCAGAAGGCTGTCTCGTTTCAACGGCACTAGTTACGTGGGAGCACCATGGGTCGGCCCCTGCTGAACCCGGAGGCCAGGCCAGGCCGGGAGGCCGTGACGTGCCCAGGACAGGTTTGCTTGGGGTCAGCTTGAGTGCACAGTTCTCTCTCGCTCTTGTTTGTATATATATATATATAATAATAATAATAATAATAATAATAATAATAATAATAATAATAATAATAATAATAATAATAATAATAACACATGCTGGCTCTGAAAAACGAACCAGAAGCGTAACTTTTCTTCGCTCTCTCAGGTGCCTGCGCCACGGCCAGCGCCCACGCCCGGCGCGCCGCCGGCGGGCAGGGTCTGGGGCTCAGGGGGGGGTGGCCCGGCCTCCTCGCGCTGCAGTCGGGGTGCGCATGGTTGCGAGCCTCCCGATGTCAGGTCTTCGGGTGCGATGGGAGGTGTTCTGCTGAGCTTATCCATTCGCGACAGGCTGGGCGTGAGCAGACACAACACGCACGCATAAGTTGGAAATGGGCAGGAAGGTCCTCTGATGATCGGCGCGTGCGCAAGGGGGTCTGTTTTACTACAGCAGCGTGTAGGGTACAGAGCCGCTGATCTAGAACCGCTGGAGTTATCTCAGGTCTAGGACTTAGGGTCTGGCCTATAGCCAAGAGTCGACTCAGCCATCGCGCCACTCCGAGTTTCCTGGTTAGGCTGCCAGCATCGTCTTGCGAGGGTGTGTGTGTGTGTGTGAGCGGCTGGGCCCTTGGTGTCATAGTTGAGAGCACTCCTCGTTCCTGGCTGGGCCCTTGGGGCTTCCTGGCTGGGCGCCACGGCTATTCGCGGATGGGGCCTCTGCGTCCCTTGGACAGTGTTTCCGCCATGCCCTTGTTGGGGCCCCGCCAAGAGGTCTTCTTCTCGATCTCTTTGCAACCATCCCCACCGTCCTCCCTCCTCTCCTCCTCCTCCTCCTCCTCCTCCTCCTCCTCCTCCTCCTCCTCCTCCTCCTCCTCCTCCTCCTCCTCCTCCTCCTGATTTTGAGGCCCCGGGGGCCGTGTATGGGGAGCTCGAACAACCCTCCCCATATGAAAGGAGTCTGGGCACCCGGGGAGGAGGAACGGGGGGGAGGAACAGCAAAGTGAGCGACGCAAAAAAGCGAGCTCGATTGCGCCGGCATTCGCGCGTAAGTTGCCCACGTAAGGTTGCGCGTAAGGGCCCTCGTCCATTGTGGCTTGCCGCGTTGGCGGCCCGCGTAAGCCACCGCAGAAAGTCGCTGTGCCATCTCGCGTAAGACGACCTTCTGATTGTCGCTCAATTGTCTGTCACCCCTGGCCAGCAGGGGTCGGCGGATTCTTCCCTTGGCCAGTTGAAGAGGCTCCGTTTTGGTTGCAAACCCTGTCACACAGGCCAAGTCTAGGAGTTTTGGTTCAGGGTCAAACGCGGCCTCCACCCCAAAGAGGAGACATCGGAGTGGACCAGATCGCAATCCGCGAGCAAAGCGGATTGCGGTGTGATCGTAAACAGAAGTTGTTCTCCGTCCCCATCCTCATTGTCCTTGTCGTCGTCCGCATCGTGCGCTTCCTCCTCTTAGGATGCAACTGTTTGGATAAATTCTTCACGCTTCGCGTATCACCACCAGCCAGCGTGGAGCCTCTCGTTGGACGACTTCGTGGAAGTACAAGGGAAGATCGAGCGCGCGCTCTCCCAAGTCTCGCGCCTGGTGACGAACGCTCACCATCACGAGGCGGCGAAGGAGGCCGAGTGCCCCCAGACCTGAAAGGACATGGAGAAGGCCGACTTCAAGCTCAGGGCCCCAATGCTCGTCCTGGAGGCGATCGTGCCAACGACCGCTCTTGTCCCACTGGCGTCTTGCAAGTGCTACATATGCGCGCTCCACTCTGCCCTGGCCGGGTCCGAGGTCGGCCTGGGAGAGGACGGGGCCGACGCCGCACTGGGGTACGTCGGTGGAGGTACCGCTCTCTCTAAGACCGACCTGGCGTCGCCCACACCAGCTGCCCCCGCGCCAGGCGCAAGGCTGGTGCCCCCCCAACATCAACGACGACAGGCTGCAGAGCGACCAGAAGAGCGTCTTCTTCACCTGCGACGGCTGCCGTTCTGCCAAGGTGAAATACACCGACGGGACCTGGGAGGACGACACCGTCAGGGATCTCTTGGCCAGCAACAGACCTCAGGCATATCCGGACGGGCAAAATCTCAGATGGCTATGCGAGACCTGCTGGGTCGACAGCCTCAACACCAGGTGCATCCCAAGCCCAACGGGCACGTCCGTCGCCGCCAAGGTTCTGGACTACACGGCCTGGCGGAACGGTCTGTCAAGCGACCCCGTCGCCAACGCACCCCCCCCCGCTCCTCAGCCTCTGGCCCCTGGGCTGCGGACGCGACCCCCCCGCTGGGGATATCAGGACGCTGAGCGACTTCCTCATGGTCCCTTCCGCCCAGTACCACCCACGACTCGCCAACATTTCTCTGCCAGCGAAGATGATTCCTGACGGAAGGTTCGGAGGCGACGCCCACAAGACGGGCCCCAATTCCGACAAGTGCGACACCTGCCCGTCCGACGGGCCGCTACTGGCGTGGAAGGTTGACGCGCCTGCGCTCGGCTGCCTCATCTGGAAGGCCGAGGCCGAGGCAGCAGGCCACGGGCGATCAGGCTTTTCCCGGCTGGGATCAGTGGCCACATTCCTGGGTCCAGCGCAAATTGAACGCCACGTGGTGCTGCCGGAGATGCCTAGCATACATATGGACCGTTGCCCCAGCAACCCTGGACCAGATCATGGACCGCGACTCCCGGGAGATCTTCCCACGGCAGCCTGCAGCCCGCCAGCGCCACGCAGCGCAGGCGGACCCCAGCGACGCCATCCCCGACCTGGCCACCCACCTCGCACCCGCAGCGGCGGACGCGAACGCGCCCGACCCTTCGCCCGCAGCAAGACCCCCGAGGGCCCAGCGGCGAGCGGAGGAGGGGGTAGCAGCAGCGGACCGCAGCCCGACCCGCTCAGACGCACGGCCCCCGACGTCCTGGCTCCCCTCCCAGACCCACCGCCACCAGAGGCCCCAAGGCTGAGCTGCAGGGAAGTCCCCGCGCTAGCCTTCGACGAGGGAAGTGATCCCAAGCACGGCCGTCGCAACAAGTTGAAGGAGGCCCGCCGCACCCCGGTCGCCCACCTGCGGGACTACCACCCAACACTGGACGAGCGGTGGATGGATTTCGTCAAGGCATGCGGCGCTGAGATTCCAGCTCCGAACGACATGGGGACCTCCTGGCGCGCGCACCAGCTGACCCCCTTCCCAACCAAGGTGCAAGGCTCAGAGATCCCAGAAGACGGCTCCCCCGAGGGTGCCCCCTGGGACGGCAAGAGGTGGGCCGCGGCCATGGTGGCAGGGCACCTGCTGCGCAGCCCCAAGCAAAAGGACGCCCGGGCAGCTCATCACCTCAGCCTGGCATCCAGCAAGGGACCCAGCCCCTTCCGCCACGGCCCCCCCGCCCTTGCCAGCTTTATCGCCAGCCTGGATCCAGGCGCCCTCGCAGCTGCCTCCATCACCACCCTCGCAGGACAAGACCCTTCGGCAGCTTTGCATCGACGAAGCCCACTCGGCGTGCCCGGGAAATGTCCTGATAACAGCCAAAACGGCGGGCGACGCCACCCCGGCCTCCGGCGCCCCACCCAGCGGCGCAGTCCCCAAGGAGACCGAACCTCCCACGCGGCAGGCAGACCACGGCCTCCAAACGACAGAGCGCGAGGCGACAGAGGCCCCCCCCCGGAGAGGAAGCAGCCTGCTCCCCAACGAGCCCAGCGCCCACCGTGAAGGCGGACATCGACGGGACCGAGGTCGGCGGTGGCGAGGCCCTGCCGGCAGCCTTGTCGCCGCCAGGCGAAGCAGCAGATGGCTCAGCCGACCCTTAAAGCAGCTCGCCCCCACCCTCGCTCGACGCCGCAGGCGCGGCAACCGGCGGCAGCCCCTCCGACGACCCCCTGATGCTATTTGGGCTAGGCGCCGGCGGCTCAAGCCGGCCCAAGCAAGGCCAGGCAGAGGGCGGCCCACCGCCCTGGGCGGGTCACGACCCCCCGCGCAGGCAAGCACCCCCAGCCGGCGCACCTGGGAGCAGCAGCGCGTCAGCAGCAGCCCCAGCGAGGCGCGACGCGACCCCCCCGTGGCAGCACGACAGGGCCGTGAGACGGGTCTTCGACGGCCTCGTCGACCCAGTCGACGGAGGCCGCATGCACAAGGAGCTGATGGGCAACGTGGAGCTCGACAAGATCAGCAAAACACCTGCAGCCAAGATCTCGCGTTTTCAGAGAGCCCATGCGATGGGGTTTTCAGCAGCGTCTGGCACGCCTACGCCCGAAAGCACCCGGCGGGGCCCAACGGCCCGAAAAGCGACCCCGCTCGGAACTCGGAAGCTACCTGCAGTGAGTTCCTCGACGCCTGGAGGCGCTGCGGGTGCGACGCCGACGACGTGAATCGCCGGCATGAACTTCAGGTTGACTGGGGCCGAGAGCGCGGCAAACGGTCGGGGAACCAGGGCAAAGGCGCCCTCCAGCCCAAAGGCCGAGCGACAAGCTCCCAGCAGCCCTGGGACTGGGACACTTGGTCCTGGTCGCAAGCCTGGGACGGCGACGACTGGCAGGCCGGGGGCAAACGAGGCGGCGACTCCAGCGGCGACGGGAGGGGGGACAAGCGCTCCCGCACATGGCGTTGACACAGACGCCCTCGGCAGCTAGTGGCCAACTGCCACGCCCTGGTAGCACCCCCATGCGCGCCCCCTCCCCCGCGCAGTTTCGCCGATCCAGGTTTCACACTAGGCGCAGCCCGCCACGTATGGGCGCGTTGGCTGCCGTGGTTCTTGCAGAAAGTACCACCTCCAGCTTCTCCCCGGCACCCTGGTGCGCCGACCCGCTGCGGGCCACAGCGGGCCGCGCGGCGCGGGGGCGCCGCGCTTTCCCGCCCGGAAGACGGGCTCGCCACCGACGAGACTTGCGGGGGTCCCACCGTGGCGAGGGGCGAGGCAGCACGCGCTCCCGGCCCCAGTGTTGCTCTCTGTAGTCGGCAAACCAGTGGCCGTTAGGCACTCCCTGGCATCGCTTTCTGCCCTGCCCCCGCTGTCCCCCGCCCTTGGGGGCTAGCAGCGGCCCGCCGGCATCGCTGGCACGCGGACTGCCACCGGGGCCGGGGTCCTCCCCCCATTCGGCCCCAGGGCCCACGTTGCGGGCCCCCCGCCCGCGTTTCGTGCAAGACGCAGCCCGCCGCGCATGGATGCGGCGGTCGTTGTGGTGCTTGCAGATAGTACTGCTGCCAGCTGCTCTCTGGCCCCCTGGTATGCCGACCTGCAGTGGGCCGCAGCGAGGCACGCGGCGCGGGGGGCGTCGCGCTTCCCCTGCCCAGAGCACAGGCCAGCAGCCGACGGGCGCCTCGCGGGGGGGCCCCCACCACGGCGAAGGGCGCGGCCGCATACGCCCCCGCACTCGGGGCTGCCCCCTCTGCACTCGGCAACCAGTGGCCGTTAGCCACTCCCCGGTAGCACTCTCTGCTCAGCTCCCGCTGCCCCCCGCCCTTGGGATTCAGGCAGCGGCCGGCTGACAATATTGGCACGTGGACTGCCACTGGGGCTGTGCTCCACCTGTCCCTTCCGGCCTCTGGCCCGCTGTAGTTGTTCTCACCATCGGCGCGCCCCCCCCGCGCCCTTTGGTGCCCCCCCGTGCTGGGGCGGCCCCCCCCGCGGCTGGCCCCCCGCCCCCCGCGCCAGCGGCTGTGCGGCACATCGCCCCACTAGCCTCGGCCCCTCCCTACCGCTACACTCGCGGTTCTGTCCCACTTCGGGCTCGGGGCTCCCGGGCGCACGTGGCACAGCTTGTGCATCGTCCGCGTGCGGTGTTGATTTCTTCCATCGTCCGCCTGGCGTCTGTCCGTCCCAGGCGCCCTCAGTGGCCGGACGCACGCGGACCGCACTCTCCTCAACGGGGCCTTGGTGCGCGATTTCGGCGGCGCCACCATCCGCACCAGTTGGACCAAGGTGGACACCCCTGGCAGTCAGTACACTGGCTCGCCGCCAGCCTGGTCACATCCTGGCGCTACCGCGCGCCATTTTGGCTGCGCCCCAGCTTCGGTTAGCCAATTCACGTGCGCGTGCCCCCGGGGTGATTCCCTGGCAGTTGGTTGCAGCCAATTCGCCTACCTGGCGGTTCAGGCCCCCACATGTTCGCACGTGTGCACTCCCTGGCAGCTTCTGCAGTTCGCAGCGGTGAGTTTCTTCTCTGCAGTTCAACTCACACCTGGTAGCCCAGCTCTCAGGTTGTCGCACGCTTGCAGCTCCTGGCAGCCAGTAGCCCGCAGCCTTCCCCTCTCGGCATATACCTGGTCCTGGGCTGAGGTTTCGGCGGTAGGTCTGCACTGCTCTCGCTCGGTAATTGAGGCCCTCGCGCTGCCCGCTCGGACCCTACTCGTCGTCGGCGCGCTCGCCTGCGGCTGCTTACCAAAAAAAGTAGCACCACCAGCGCGATCTTGACGGCGCGCAGCTGCCTGCGTCGCTCGCGATCAAAACAATATCCCGGCAACGCAACCGAACAACGATGTGTAGGGGCATGTATGGAAGCATCCCCCTTAAGATCCAGATGAGAATCCAGTTGTAGAATTCTGCTGTTCTCGCAGTCGTAGTCGCATTCGCGATGACAGTCGCAGCGGCAACGGCAGTCGCAGTCACAGCCTCAGCCTCAGCCTGCCTCAGCCTCAGCCTCCGCCTCAGCCTGCCTCAGCCTCAGCCTCAGCCTCAGCCTCAGCCTGCCTTCAGCCTCGCCTCGGCCTCAGCATGCCTCAGCCTCAGCCTGCATGAGCCTCAGCCTCAGCAGCCTCAGCCTCAGCCTGCCTCAGTCTGCATTCAGCCTCTCAGCCTGCTTCAGCCTCAGCCTCTGCCTCAGCCTCAGCTCAGCCTCAGCCAGCCTCAGCCTCAGCCTCAGCCTCAGCCTCAGCCTCAGCCTGCAGCCTCAGCCTGCCTCAGCCTCAGCCTCAGCCTGCTTCAGCCTCAGCCTCAGTCTGCCTTCAGCCTCGGCCTCAGCCTCAGCCTGCCTCAGCCTCAGCCTGCATCAGCCTCAGCCTCAGCCTCAGCCTGCCTCAGCATCAGCCTGCCTCAGCCTCAGCCTCAGCCTGCCTCAGCCTCAGCCTCAGCCTGCTTCAGCCTCAGCCTCAGTCTGCCTTCAGCCTCGGCCTCAGCCTCAGCCTGCCTCAGCCTCAGCCTGCATCAGCCTCAGCCTCAGCCTCAGCCTGCCTGCCTCAGCCTCAGCCTCAGCCTGCAGCAGCCTCAGCCTGCAGCCTCAGCCTCAGCCTCAGCCTCAGCCTGCTTCAGCCTCAGCCTCAGCCTCTCAGCCTCAGCCTCAGCCTCAGCCTGCCTCAGCCTCAGCCTCAGCCTGCCAGCCTCAGCCTCAGTCTGCCTTCAGCCTCGGCCTCAGCCTCAGCCTGCCTCAGCCTCAGCCTGCCTCAGCCTCAGCCTCAGCCTGCCTTCAGCCTCCTCAGCCTCAGCCTCTGCCTTCAGCCTCGGCCTCAGCCTCAGCCTGCCTCAGCCTCAGCCTGCCTCAGCCTCAGCCTCAGCCTGCCTCAGCATCAGCCTGCCTCAGCCTCAGCCTCAGCCTGCCTCAGCCTCAGCCTCAGCCTGCTTCAGCCTCAGCCTCAGTCTGCCTTCAGCCTCGGCCTCAGCCTCAGCCTCAGCCTGCCTCAGCCTCAGGCTGCCGCAGCCTCAGCATCAGCCTGCCTCAGCCTGCTTCAGCCTCAGCCTCAATATGCCTTCAGCCGCGGCCTCAGCCTCAGCCTGCCTCAGCCTCAGCATCAGCCTGCCCCAGCATTCAAAATGTGGCCCAGAAATGGAGTTTTGGGAACTCGAAGAACACGCAGTGGCCTACGGTTGGCTCCGGGCATTCGAAATCATGCCCAGGAATGGAATTCTGGGAACCCGAAGAACACGAAGTGGCCTACAGTTGGCTCCGGGTACTTAACAATCACACCCAGGAATGGAGTTTTGGGAACTCGAAGACCACGGAGTGCGTTACTGTGGGGTAAAAGGAGTCCCCGTTCAAAAAGGAGTCCCCGTTAAAAAAGGAGTCCCCGGATTCCCGCGGCACCCGTCCGGCATCTGCCCAGACCCCCTTCTGGGGAGTCATGATGCTCTCTTGTGAGACCACTAGAAACCCATCAGTCTTCGCTGTTAGGTAGTATCACCGCCAGCCAGTTCAGAAACGTGGCCCATGAGAATAGTGAAACAAAGCGGGCAACCAGGATGAACACAGTTATTATTGGGAGCAAAGGGTGTCCTGGGAGGGCCTCGTCGGACCATCCTTTTGGCCCGGTGGGGGGGCGAGGGGGAGGAGGACAGAGACGACGTTGAGGACGACCACGACGACGAGGAAAAGGAGGAACAGGAAAGGATGATGATGAGGACAACGACGAGGACGAGGAGAAGGAGGAGGAGGAGGAAGAGGAGGAGTAGGAGGAGGAGGAGGAGGAGGAGGAGGAGGAGGACAGCGAAGACGAGGACAGAGACCTCAAATCGCCTCTTGGAGCTCTTTTGGGTAATCTTGGGGTCCTCCTGGGGCTCTTTTGGGGGTCTCAGGACCCTCTTGGGGCCCTCTTGAGGGTCCCTTGGAGCCCTGGAGGGCCTTTTGGGGCCATCCTGCATGCCATCGATCAAAAGGGGGGGTTCTCGATTTTCGTCCCCCCCTGGGTCCAACAAAATCGCATTTTGGGCCATGTTTGGGCCGCTCTTTGTCGCTGTCATGGCCGCTTTGGAAGCCTCTTGGGCCCCGCTTGGGCAGTCTCGGGGCCATCATGGCTTCGAAAGCGCATCGAAAGCGAGACGGCGAGAAGGCAGACATCACATATGTTACTTAGTTGTTTGAATGATTGGGGCCTCTTGGGGGGCCCTGAGTGGGCTCCGAGGCCACTTGGAACCATCGTGTGGCCATCGTCGGGCCTCTTGGAGGTATGTCGGAAGCTACCTTGAACCATCGCCAGTTATCTTGATCAATCTTGAAAGCCATATTGGAGCATAGGAGGCCCTCTTGGAGCCATCTTGGGCGAAAAAGACCTAGCACATCACAAACCTCCCAAAAATCATCAAAATCCTCAGGAAGCGGAGGGGGAGGGTACCCCTTCCCGAAGGGAATAGGGTTTCTTGGAAGAGGACAGAAATCGTTCGACCACCTTAGCCCAAAGGGCTGGTGGGATTCAGCATCGGCGCTGGTATATCCGTGGTCGGAAACCGGCCTGGCCTAACCCATGACCTAACCCTTTTTCTGCAGCCTGATCGGCCTTAGTCCCAGCTTCAATTTGGGATACCTCGGCCCAATTGCCCACACATCGGGTCGAATTGTCGTTAACCGTTCGTACGAAGGATTTCCCAGGAGTTGCTTGTTCACTCTTCCTCGTCCTGATCCTCCTCCTACCCCCTCCTCCGCCTTCCTCCTCCTCCTCCTCCTCCTCCTCCTCCTCCTCCTCCTCCTCCTCGTGCTCCTCCTCCTCCTCCTCCTCCTCCTCCTCCTCCTCCTCCTCCTCCTCCTCCTCCTCCTCCTCTCCCCTGCGGCGCTCCCGAGGCGGGTGGCGACTCCTCCGTGGGCGCCGCCTCACGCTTGCGGGAGTCCGCGGCCTGGATTTCCCAGGACCGGGGGCGACGGGGGCGCGGGCCGGGAGAGATTTTCTTGTTAAACATCCTCTGGCGCAGAAGGGTCGTTACCAGTGCCACCCCCCCGCCCCGCCCTACCCCCCAGGTGAAGGTAACGATCGGACATACAGGGAGGGCCTGGGCCCCCCACATGCTGGTGCTCGCAGGCATACTACTGGGTGATCGTCGCCCCCCCCAGGGTAACGACAGTTACGCGGATTCGTTGTAGAATAAGCAAAAAATCTTGCAATATTTGGCCTCAACGCTCGGGTGCCCCAGACACCCTCGCGATCTGCGACTGAATCCACGGGCCCTCGCCGATACCTGCGACGGCGAGAGTTTCTGATTCTGCTCTCCCTATCTAGGCCCCTGACTGAGACCGTCGAAAATTGGCTCGGGACGGAAAAACGGCCGCGAGGAAAGGGTCGGGAGTTCGGGGGCCGCGCATGGAAACAATCAAGACAATGGGCGCCTGGCAACTGGTCCTGATGGTGTTCTCTGTGGTGCTGCCTCCCAGGGCCCTCTCACGGGCCCTGGGACTGTCAAATCCTGGGGGCAGGCCACGAATAAAGGACCCGTTGCCCTCATGACCCGTTTGGTGGGGGCTACCATGGTTGGGCCATGTTATTCCCCGAGATGTCATGGTTCCCCTCCGTGTCTGAAATGATGTCCCCTGGCACCCTCGTGGCCGCGCACGCGCCTCGAGCCAGGATCTCCTTCCTTGGGCAACCTCTGGCCTCCACCTCGGGTGACCTGCAGTCCCCATGGAAGCAGGCGCGGCCCGAGGGAGCCAGGCCCAGGAGGTTCCTCAGCGTTCGGCCCCCTCGGGGCCCTGCGCGGGCCCCGGGACCGGCGAGGAGCGGCTCAGGACCCGCCTCCTCCCTCCTCCCTCCTCCCTCCTCCCTCCTCCCTCCTCCCTCCTCGTCACAACGAGCAGCTCGGAGTGGAGATGCGGCCTTGGAGAAGGGGCGGGGAGGCCCCAGGGCCCGCTCGTCGAGCAAATCGAAGCGCCAGCTGTCTGGGGGGAAGGGGGCGGGAGGGAGGGAGTGGGGTGCAACCGTTGGAAGGTCCAACTGAACATTGACGCCTGTACATGCGTGGTCACGATCCCGCTGAATCTGGCTCTACACCCGGCTCGATCCCGGGCTCAATCTCTGATGATCCAGCTCTTTGGCCCCCTGATGGGGTTGATTAGTCCTTGCTTGTTCCTACGCAGACCTCAGGAGTGGCCCAGCAATGAAGGAGGGTGAGCAGCAGCAGCAGCGGCAGGATCCCAAGCGCGCGGGCGGCGCCGTGGCGGCACTCCTCGCGACGGGCGCCGTCTGCGTGCTGTTTCGCCGCTGGCGCCAGAAGAAGGGCGGCGGGTTCAAGCACATCAAGACCAAGGAACCCAGGCACGACCAAACAAACAAGAGACTCAGACTCTCTTTCGGGGGCGGCAAAGAGGGTGTGATGACTAAGGGGGGTGGATATCATTGCGGGGGCCATGATATCTCCCCAGATTTCATGGCGCCTCCTCTTATTTCATTACGTCCCTGCCCGCCCCCCGGGCCGCGCACATGCCGCCGGCTATAATTTTCGCCCCCCCTCTTCGCCGCCCCCGACTCTTCGCGTCGCGAAACATGTATATATGTGTGTGTGTTTACTATGCTCGACTTCGGGGGCCCTCGCCAGAACGAGTCAGGATGAAGAGCCGGTCCCTGGAGAGGGGCCCAGACCTCCGGGGAGCCACGTTGTACTAGACAACGTAGGACGTCTGGACAAGAGGACGAGGAGGAGGAGGAGTTGTTTGCATGAGTTTCAGGTTGATGTACAATCCGTGGCACATTCCACATCATGTTCGTACCATGCCCACCACGCCAGTAGAGTAGAGCGCTGTCTTACATCGAATCGCTGTTGAATCAGCATGGTATCGGCGCGAAGTTATGGCAAGTTTCCAGGTCAGCCAATACACGCCACAAGGCAGGAATGGTGCGAATACCATATGGTGAAGTTCGAGGGCATTTGCATGTCCGCATATGATCAGTGTGACCATGGTGACGCGATGACAAACTAGTTTGGTGAGCAGGATACGATGGGGAACCAAGAGCTGACGAACGAGCACGCACTATCAATGATTTTGATGTTTGGCAAATCGAACGCATCTCCGTTGAGCATCTTCAGTCGCGGGAGCAAGATGACACAGAAAAGACGTTCGTCAAGATTGCGCCGTGGTGATAAATCGACGATCTTTTGACAGGCGAGCACGGCGGTGACCGGGAGTGGATTTGCGCTAGCGGGGGGCGGGCAACTTCGGTTATGAACCCACAAGTGGGTGTTTGAATGGCTAAACTGGATGGCGGTGCCCGGGGAGCTGTCCCGAGACAGGCTCGAACAATAGAATTGCTGGCGTTTCGTGCGGGACTTCCTCGAAATAGAAGTTCCACACCAAGTTCGAAATCGGTCCGAAACAGAAGAACAATAAGCGGTTCGCGCGGGACCCCTTCGACACGCAAGTTCTAACCAGGTTCGAGCTTGGTTCGGAACAGTAGAATTGTGGGCGTTTCGTGCGGGACTCCTTCGAACAACAAGTTCGAAACAGGTTCGAAGTCAGCTCGAAACAAAAGTGAGCGCGCTTCATGAGGGACTTCCTCGTCAAGCAAGTTCATGCGCTCAGTTGCTCGCAGACATTGCGGTGCCCGCGGGCACTTGGGTGCTCACAGTCATGGTGGTGTTCAGGCGCTGTTGTGCTCAAGCAAGTTCAGGCACCATGTTGCTGCGTCATCCTGGGCCACTGCGTGGCCTTCACACTTGGTGGTCTCGCGTTCGTCTGTTTCCTTCGGCGTCCCGCGACATCGCGCCCAAGGGCGCCGCAGTGGCAAAATCGGGCAATCACGCCCACGTATTCGGTAAACGAATTTGAGCGAGCACGTGAATAATATTTGAAGACCCGTGGCCGGCAAAGTGACAATATGCAATGGCGAGCCAAACCAAAAGCCTATCATAGCGAACCGAAGGCAATCCGGTCATCGAAAAGTTTTAACGGGGACAAGGCCAAGTTTCGAACGTGGAGTGACCGACTGCAGGGCGACCTGGTCCAAGTTAACAACGGTAGCCGCAAAGCACTCAAGTTGCAAAACACCAAGCTCGGAACCACGGGCGGGGCCGCGCCTGACCCACAAGAAAATTGCAACGAAATCGCACCAATTAGCGGCAACATGCCAGATGCGGAATATAACAAAGCATCTTCCGAGAAACGAAGGCATGAATGTGAGTTTGAGGCCGAGTACGTGTTGGATGAGGAGGACATTATTGTAACCTACACGAACGCTGGTGGTACATCTCCACGAACGCTGGAAAGCACGGAAGCACGAGGTAATTTGCATGGGTCGAACAAAGGTGAAGGGCTGACCGCATGCATGGAATTGCTGAATTCTTACCTTGGTGACCATCAACCTTCTTTCAAATCGCCCTGCGAGTGGGCGGTTCGACGACTGGCGGCAGGGTTGTTTTCGCGTGCCTGATTCATTGACCGACGAACAGCATCAGAAGACGCATGTGAAGAGAAACAATTTGGCCAGGAAGAAACGCCTGCACGCCGACCCCAAGGACAGCGGCGCAGTGGACACTCAAGACGTCGGATAGCAAGAACATCAGGCAACCAACCACACGATCAGGGAACTATCGGGCATCATAGGATGACCCGAAGCCTGCCGACACGGATAGTTCCAAACATTGGGACGGAGAGCCTTGCAGTTAAGAAAAGTATGGGCGAGGGCAGGGCTGTGCGCTGCAAGCGCGGAAGAACCAGACGCACGGCGAAACACTGCAAAACCGCAGGGAAATGCAGGATAACCCCGAAGGGAAAGCGAACCCCAGTTGACAGAAAGGGCACGGCAAAAGACGCCGCGGACGCTGCGCGGAAGCAGGCACGCAAACTGCACCGCATCGTGGATGGTCAGGCGGCACAGGCTACGCACCCACGAACGAGCGGGAATGTTTCGAAGATGGGCAGGAAGTTCGCGCCTCCACCACGTGCTCCGACGGGGCCAATGAGTTGGGCCCCGCACGCGACGATCAAGGAGCCAGTGCCCTCGGCCAGCCGCGGCCGGGAATGGGCCCGGCGCGCCGCGCCGCAGCGCCCGAAGCTCCACGCGCGTTCGGCGGCCCGCGGGCAGCGCCAACTTGGGCGAGGAAGCAACGAGCGCGAATGATTCACGTTCGTATTCGCATACATTGCACTTGCATGTCTCCCCGCCGCAGCGCAACATACAATTTGCCAACAGTCGATTGGGCGACCGCGAGACCGGTCAGTGCGGCAAGTGTTTCCGCTCTGCCCATTGCATTTGCGACGCCGGCAGTAATTGGGAAGACTGAACTCCCGCGGGACATCCGGGGTGAATTCCAGACTGGCGCCCCAATGCGTCTCTAGGCACCTGGAAAGATTCGCGCTGTTAGCCGTGCGCGGTGATACATTTGCCGTGTCGGGCAACGACCAGGACTTGAACCGGGTAGAAACAGGGAGGAGGACGAGGTGAAAGTAGGGGGATGATTGGGCTCCACAAGGAATGGGATTCCAATCAGGATTCTCAATGACATAGTAAAGTGGGCGAGTGAGGGAGCGAGGTACGGGGCTTGTTTGAGGAATACATCGGAAATGTTCAGAGAGCAAGGGTTCCCCCTGGACATGGACAAGTCCTTGGAGCGAAACGACTGGTTGATGAAGGCATTTATAAGCCGCTCAGTCACGCATTTTCCATCGATGCTTCAGTCGAGCACAACGCCGCAACAGGCCAACTTCTCAGCCGACTTCCACCTCATCGACCCATCACCAACCAACGCCACCATGGTCGGCGATGGCATGCCATAACTGAAACTCACGCCAGGTTCCAGCGTCGCGGTCAATGACGCGACGCTTGACATTGAGTCTGCTTGACGCCGTAACCCCCGCGCGGATGCGGCGCCTTTGGATGACCTTCTGAGCGCGCCCCCCATTCCAGCAACATGGCGCGCGGCATGCAAACTGACAGTCCCGACGGAGCGAAGACGCGACTGTCACGCCGCATGCATGCACAGCTACGCATAGCGCCCCGCGCTATCCGCCACGCACCCGAGGGCCGCGCACATCAGCACGACGAAGGCATGAGCCATTTGAGCGCAACGCGGCGTTCGATCGGAGCAACAGCGATGTCATGGACGAGAGGAGCAATATCCTCAACGGTGAGACTCTAACCGAGCTGCTGAACGCATTGAACACAGGCGCACAGTAGCGGCCAACAGTTTTCTTGGCGCTGGAGGAAAAACCACCCGGACCGGACAATTGGCGTTTACTAAACGGCCCTGGGCGTTTACTAAATAGCCCTGTCCTGTTCGATTACTTCCGTGGCTGCGTTTGCTAAACGGCTTCGCTTGTCGGGGCGATCATCATGGGGGTGGATTTTCTGCCCGCCAATTAGAGCGCCCCATCCAAGGCCCCAGTTTCCGCGCGGGAAGCCCGGGCCAGTCATCGGGGCACGCAGTATATCAGGCGACGCATTCCGGTTGACCATCGGGGCGCGTTGGGGCCTTGCAGCGGGGGCGCCGCGTTGCAGCCCGGGCGCGCGGCGCGGCGTGCTGCCCCTGTTTCGCGACGATAGCGCAGCGCGTTTTTTGCGCGGCGCTGCCGTCGCCCCCCTTCTTGTTCCGATTCTCGCCAGGTCTCGTGCCCCCCACGTCGCAGGGCGGATTTCGCCCGGAAAGCGATGGGACGGGCCCGAAGTGTCCCGGAGAATTTCGCTGCGGATTTCGAGGGGACTTTCGTGCGGATTTTCTTGGGGGGCCCGGAATGAAGACCGACGACAAACCCACGCGAAATTCACTTCGTTTTTTCACGCGCCGCTTCGGGCAGAAATCCACGCAGAAATCCGCTGCAGCACGTCTGCAAGGCCAGTGCAATGACAGTTTTTTGTTTCCCAGTGGTATCAGCATTGGTTCCAGCGGTCTGGCCCCCCGTCTCGCGGGCGGTTATACTTGTCGATTCACGCGTTATCTCTTATAGATTGGTGGATCTGTTTCAATGCATTCTCATGCGCGCATCTGTTTCTGTATTCCCCTGCAACGCGCGGCCGAAACATGCGCGCCAGCCCGCCAGGGCCGGTTTCGCACTTCACTGATAGATATGTTGAGGGCGGTTTTCCGGCCTGCGCCGCCAAGGTCCCCCTGTGTTCTCAGAGTCGCTTCACGCGTGGCGCCGCGCCCCAATTGTTTTTCCTGACATGTGCGCATGGCCCCTACGCAGCGCAGCGCATTTCGTTTCCGTTCCACCTCGCCACGCCGTAGACAGCCCGCCCGCGCTGGCACAGTGAAAACCGCAGATCCGCACGAATGCGGCGCGTGCACGTTTGCTCTGCTCCAGCGGAACGTCTTGCCATGCATTCTTCGCCCTCCAAAGTCACATAGTTCAACCTGTGCGTCGCTGGCTGCGTCGACCGCGAACCGCGCGAGTTAACTGGCCCAGAAGGCGACGTCGCAACGCGGGAAGACTGCGACTCGCATCGCGGTTCATAAGAATTCACACATGGGAATGTGCATGAGACGTCGCCGATTCGACTTGTGCCTGGAGGGCCGCTCTCTCGAACTGCCGTTCGGAGCAACGCGGCGCATGGGTCAGGGCGCCACCGGGTCTACATAATATTTCCGAACGACGGGGGCAGTTGCCCTGGATTTGTAGTTCGTGCGGCGTTGCCTACACCAGTTTACGATTGGAGCATCACCGATCACGCGCAGGGAATGGAGTGTGTAAACATGCTTACTACATAGTTCGACATGCGCTGGCCTGGTAAACCCGCGACCATTGGTGACTCTCCGATCTGCAGTGACCGCGAAGACATCGTGTCTGGCGCGTGGGCACTGCGGTTCTTAACCAGAGAGTTGGAGACAGAGCGCACCATTATTGTCGACGGCTTGGTCGCATATTACACTGACCCTGATACCTCCGGTAAAAGGGCGATCGGCTTCGACGGGGACTCGGCGGAGAAGCCGCCCGCAGCTTGGCGCCAAACCAAAGTGTCTGCCATTGTGTCACGCAGAGAAGTTTTGCCATCTGCAGGACGGGGGCCGGCCCGCCCGGACACACCAGAAAACGCGTTGCCGCGGGACGAGGTCGGAGGAGAAGGTCCTCTGGCAAGCCCACCTGCCCTCGGTCGATTACACGTTGTGGACTCACGACCAAACCTGGGCGATGCACCCCCACGCTTGCACCGAGTGCGTTTCGGAATTGCCAAGCCAGGGGCCGCAGGTGCGTCGCGCCTGCGTGTTGCCAATGCGCGCTTCGGCAGGCCATGGGCCGTTGCCGTGGCATCAAGACCGCGTCAGTCAAAGGGGAGACCGACAGTGTCAAGGACGCGATGCTTGGGGCATGGCAGGATTCGGACGAGGAGGGCGAGGCGTGGGACGGCCGCGCGCACAGGGGACACGAGGGGCGTCACCACAGGTCGGAGAGGGCTGGCAGCGAGCGCCCCAGAGGGAAAAGTGCAAAAGGCGAGGTCCAGCTCGGCGTGCCCTCGCCCGGGCGCGCCAAGGAAGGCCTGCTGACAAGTAGCAAGTATTGTTGTCTGCCCCTCCTGGCCTGCTTCGTGCGTGACCATTGTGTAGTCATTCGGCCCAAGTGCGCAAGACAGCAGTGGCACATGTAACCAAAGCGGGGACCCCGCCAAACGTTTATGAGGTTTGGCCATGTCGAACTTTCAGTCACATGTGCATCAGACGCCGCGTAGATCTCTCGACAAGTTCTCATCATTCACGAGCCGTTGCCATTCGCTGTCGCATGACGATGTTGCAGCGTCTGCACTGTAAAGATATCTCCTGCTTCTGCTCGCAGTCCGCAAGTTTCTACAAGGCTGCACGCAACCAACCCGATGTGGGTCATCAAGTCGATTGGGGGGGTGCTCGCATGTAGCACACGAGGATAATGTGCAATCCGTGGCGTTCGGACAAAGTGATTGTATCCGTCGAAGGGAGGTAACCGAAGCACATCACGTTCGAACCTTCGCTGCCTCGTCCGCAAAAAGAGAGCGCCGTCTTGCATCGAATGTGCTGTTGCATGCTCAGGCGGGCGGAGGACGGAGGAGGGAGGGTTGGCCCATGGTTGGAGGGAGGGAGGAGGAGGAGGGAGGAGGAAGAGGAGGAGGAGGAGGGAGGAGGAGGAGGGAGGAGGAGGAAGGGAGAGGAAGAGGAGGGAGGAGGGAGGAGGAGGGAGGGAGGAGGGAGGAGGGAGGAGGACGGAGCGATGCGTATCGCTCTTCTCGGGCCTCATGGGTGGCCCGGTCGCCATGGCCAGGCCCGCCCCCAAAAGTATTGGTCACAAGGCGCTCCCAGAGAGGTTTGGTGGCTGTGTCTTCTCCTCCTCCTCCTCCTCCTCCTCCTCCTCCTCCTCCTCCTCCTCCTCCTCCTCCTTCTCGTCCTCCTCCTCCTCCTCCTCCCTCCTCCTCCTCCTCCTTCTCCTCCTCTTTCTGGGGAAAATGCCACCGTGCCGCCAAAGCAACGAGGGCGTTCAGAACAATCTCGGCTGAACCACTGGCACCCGGAATGCCGGTGGCGTTGGCGTTACGGGCACCTTGTGCGGACCGGAAGCGTCGTTGCCGCAAGTCTCGGAGTCGGAACCGCCAGAGACAAGGGACAGTCCTCGGCTCACTTGTTTTCGCAGGGGCCGTAGGGACAGTTTTTTGAAAGCCAGCTCAGATCCATTCGCAGGCCAGGGAACTGCGGTTGTCTGGTTGACTTGCTCTGAGCACATGATCAGAGAAACGATTGATCCGGATTGTGTCGGGGATTGTGTGTTTTGAAATGTGTGTGGGGGGCGTGGGGGGCAGGAGGAGGAGGGGGAGGAGGAGGAGGAGGAGGAGGAGGAGGAGGAGGAGGAGGAGCTGGAGGAGGAGCTGGAGAAGGAGAGGGAGTGTCAGGAAGGAAAGGTAGAGGAGGAGGAGGAGGAGGAGGAGGAGAAGGAGGAGGAGGAGGAGGAGGACGAAGAGGGGGAGGGGGAGAGGGAGGAGGAGGAGGAGGAGGAGGAGGAGGAGGACGACGACGACAGAGGAAGCGCACCCCAGAAGCTCTCCCCGCCACAGGAGCCCCGGCGCGAGGAGCCGGACAGTGTGCCGCCGAAGATCGTGGGCGCGGCCATGAACGACAGCCCCGTTGGTCCGTACGACCGAAATTGGTTTGGAAAGAATGCGGACGAAGACTAACAGCAGTTGTTGTCCCGTTGAACAGGATTCGTTGTTTGCGTCGCCGTGGGCGTTGTCCATTTGAGAAACTCGTCTGCCCAGCAATTGCCGCTGTCGATGTCGGACAGCACTTGTTGCTGGGCATCGTGCCCACACTTTCCGCCGCACCCGTTGCGGGCGTGCCGAGGTGGTCCCGACGTCTTCGCCATCGCCGGCGACAACGACGACGACGACGACGACTTCGCGCTCTGGGAGGACGAGGCCCCCCGCACGGAGAAGCGGTCCTCCCCGAAGCGCGGGCGGCGCGAGAGCAGCGCGAGCGCACTGCTGCGCCCCCGCGGCGGGCCCCGGGGCCGCCACGGCAGCCTGCACGGCGCTCGGGCCCGGGCGCTCCAGCCGCCAGGGTTTTTTTTGCGGGAGGCGGTCCTCGTCGGACCCAGCCGGCGGCAGAGGGGGCGCATTTTCTGTTTCGGTGCTGGGAGCTGGAGCGGCTGCAACTTGTGCTGGAGAGGGGAGAGGGAAACAGGAGGAGGAGGAGGAGGAGGAAGGAAGGAAGGAAGGAAGGAAGGACGGAAGGAGGGAAGAAAGGAGGGAAGAAAGCATGGCTCGAGCTGATCGGTGCTTTGGCGACGTCGTGGACGGTTTTCGTTTTGAGTTCGCTCCGCAGCAGAGGCGGAGCGAAACGGACACGAGATCGAAGAGCGCTGTTCAGCTCGGGCCCTGCCTCGCCCTCTGCCCCCTCGCGAGAGGCCCTCGCCGAGCACCTCAAGAATCAGCTCGAGGTCGACGCGGGCCCCCCCTTCGGCGACGGCGGCCTCAGGCGGGCACCACCCCGTCCCTGGCCTTCTCCCAAGCCAGGCGGTCTGGTCGCCATGGGGGGCCACGTCGTCGTCGGGCGTCGCCGTCGTCGTCGTCGTCGTGGTCGTCGGCGTGAGCTCCAATTGTCTTGCACGCCTGTGTCCTGGAGCACCGCGCCCTTCATGTTCGCTGTCGGTCGTCCGTCGCCCCCCAGCTACCCCCCCCCACACCTCTGCCTCCTCAGGATGCCTCCAAGGGGATACCAGGATGGTCCCCCCAAGAACCTTCTCTCGAAGAAGAGAAAACGCCATAAACATAAACGGTTGGCGCTCCGCGCGGATTTCTTGGAGCAGGAGGGAAAAACCACACAGACGCAATTAATCCACGATTCCCATGAAAACATTGGAAAATATGGGAAGTGGGGGGAGACAAAAACCCAGAAAATATTGGAAAATATGGGGAATATTTTTGTTTGTGTGTATTTATTTGTGTGTCCCAGGCCCCCTTCATTGGATCCGCGCCCGGCCCCCCTGGCGGCTCTTCCCGCACCGACCTTGGCGCGTTTCGCGCGCCAGGGAGGGGGGCCCAGCGCGAATCCAAGAAATCCGCGCGGAGCGCCAAAAGTTTATGCTTATGCTGTTTGGTGTTTACCCTTCTAGGATTATAATGTTCCAACCAATTTCAGCCTTGATCACCAGAAAGAATTTCGAGCACCAAACAAAATACCGAAACTCGAGGGTTTTCACGCGTCGTGCCCTGGGAGACGTTCGTCCGACATTGTTTCGACACTCTATCGTCAAACATAGTTTTAAAACAATAGTGCAGTGACGATGTGTTGAGCATTGTTGGGCATGTTTTGAGATGTTTGTTGGTGTATGTTTGATGTGTCATCCAGGCTCCGCCTGTGGGGGAACATGCCCGACCTAACCCTAGTTGTCTGTACCGACCCCCTCTCCCCTCCCCACTGCTGGCAGATCTCAGCTCTCTGGGCTTGGAGCCGCCGCACGGAGCACGTGCGATGGTGATGATGGTGCTGTTGGTGATGAGCGGTTGTGGTATTGATGGTGATGGTGATGGTGATGAGTGTGGTGATGGTAATGATGGTGGTGACGATGGTGGTGGTGATGGTGATGGTGGTGATGGTGGTGATGGTGATGGTGGTGGTGATTATGATGGCGATCATGACGCTGTCGATTGAAATCATGGAAAACCTTGAAAGTGCGGAAAAGACAAACATAATGGAGCTCATGAAAATGGTGGGGACGATGGTGATGGTGAGAGTGGAGATTATGTTGATGGTGGTTATGGGGATGGGGATGGGGATGGTGGTGGTGATTATAGTGGTGATGATGATGTTGCTTTTGGTGATGTCGTCGTCATCGTCGACGGTGATGCCGTCGTCGTGGACGGTGTCGTTATCCTCCATTTCTTGCCCCTCATGCGTTCCTTCTCTCCCCTTCCCCCTTTTCCCTTGTCCCCCTTCTGTTTTCCGTCTCCCTCCACTTCCCTCGTCTTTTTGCGTTCCTCCCCTCTCGCACCCACCTTGAGACGTGGACGTTCTCTGGAGGAGTAGGGGGACCTGGAGGAGGATGACGGACAGAGGAGAGAGGGCGAAGAGGGAGCAGGAGGGGCCTTAGCGTCTCCATTCTTTTAATCCACCTTTGTTCACTGAGCGGAGATGGATTCTTCCAGATTGCCCAGATTGCCCAGGAGAGGAGGGGGGGGGGAGGGTGAGGAGGTAGAGGGGGGAGGCGGAAGAGGAGGCGCACCAGAGGAAGCCCAGATGCGTCAACGGAGGCGGAAGATGAAGTAGAGGGGGGAGGCGGAAGAGGAGGCTGCAAAGTTCCTGCAGGTATTCGGAAGCGGCCATCCCTTGCATGGTGTATGCCACTCAGGGCAGACCCCTTCCGGTAAAGGGGCCAACCTCCATCCGTCTAGCTAAAGTGTCACGCTAAAGTGTCAAGAAGTGTCACGCGATAGCTTCGTTTTGAGAAGGATTCGCCCTCCACCCGTGTAAGTGTTGCACACTTTCGAAGTACGCCTCCCCCATGTTACAATGAACCGGGCGCGACCCCAAGCAGGGAAGTTTCATGAGTAAGCAATTCGGCAAGGAAGGCATTTATTTGTTGTGTGTTGCATTGCTTTGCGTTGCTCGGCGCTGTTTGGAATTACTTGGCATTGCATTGACTGAGTTTACGTGGCATGGCGTCGAGTAGCGTGGCATTGTTTCACAGTGTGTTGCTTTGAATTGTTTGGCGTTGCTTCTCATTGTGTGCCATGTCTTGATATGTGTGTTTGCATTGCTTGGCGTTGCTTGGTATTGCTAGGTAGCACGGAAATCAAGACCAAGCAAGTCCATGAAAGCAGTCAGTAAACAAGACCATGCAACCCGAGGAAGGCAGTCAAGAAACAAGACCAAGCAACCCTAGGAAGGCACTCAGAAAATACGACCAAGAAGCCTGAGGAAGGCAATCAAGCAAGGAAGGCAGTGAAGAAACAAAACCAAGCAGCCCAGGGAAGGCAGTCAAGAAACAGGACCAAGCAACTTGATGAAGGCACTCAAGAACCAACATCAAGTAACAAGTAGCACGTAACACGTAACAAGACAAAACAAAAGACAAGACAATCGGCACCCATTGGTTTGCCAAAAGGATCTAGAATCTAAGAACCTGTTCGGCAAGCCGAATTGAAGAAAAAGGAGCCGCCCCCCATCGGGGTAAACGTTACACAAGAAAGTATTCGTGGTCATAAAAAGTGAGGAAGTCGCAAGCGCGAATCGCATTTTGAATGCGAATCAGCCTCCATGCTTGTTGGTGTTGGAACTTGTTCGGACGAATGCGCGAAGTCGCTAAGGCGAGAGTCGCATGTCATAGCCACCCCGCTCATTACATGTGTTTGGTTGATCATTGAACCTGAATGTGTTCGGTACTGATATGGTAGCCGGATTCTGATAACAGACCAGCTTCCATCCCTGAAGGCATCTGCAATGCTCAAACCTGAAGTGCGTGGCGCTACGGCGGGAGCCGCATTGTGAAAACTACCGGCCGTCCATCCCAGTAGCTGTTGGAACCGCTTCAGAACGAGTGTGCGCGGCGCTGAGGCGAGAGCCGCATTGTGGAAACCACCACCGGCCTTCCATCTCTGTGGTTGTTGAGAGTTTTACCGTGACGGTGCGCGGCGCTGCGGCGAAGGCCGCATTGTGAGAAGCATGCGCCCGCCATCCTTGTTACTGTTGGAGCTTATGAAACTCAAGATAGCAACGTGCACGGACATCTCGAGCGAAGCGCTGGGCTAGGCGCACGGACACGTTTGGTAGTGCAACAGGGTGTGTTTGTGTGTGTGTGTGTGGGGGGGGGCGTTTGCAATAACGAGGGATGTGTCACGGAAGCGCAATCATGGACCAAGGCGCGTGGATTAGCAACGAGTCTCGCTTCTTTACAGTTTCGGCGCGCTGGCGCGCTCCATCGCCAAGTGAGGCGACGCTGACTTCATGTTTCTTGGGCGCCTTCCCAGGTCCGTTGATCTGGCGCCCACGCGCCAGATACACGAATCCATGGCCCATGTAGCGAATCACAAGGAAGCGGAGGAAGAGAGGAGGAGGTGGAGGAGGAGAGGAGTGCGAGGACGACAACGCGCCGACGCTGGTCCAGCCCCGCCTCCTCCCCCCAATCCGGCGCCTCCCGGGACGACCGCCCCGGCGCCCCCCCCACCCACGGGGCCGGCCGACACTGCAGGGGGGCCCTGGGCCCCCCTTTGGCGAGGCTGGCGGCCCAGCCTCGGGGCGGCGGCGGCGGCCGCTCGCAGGAAGCGCGCGCCCCTCTCGGGAGGGGCCGCAGGGGTGGCTCGAGCAGGAACGAGGCGACGGACAGAGGGGGAGACCCACAAGGAAAAACAAGTATCAGACATAAGCCGTTCTTTACAGAAGGAAATTGTTTACAAGGAAGAGTGTTTTTCCGTTTTCGGCCACTGGTGGCCGGGCCCTGGCACCGCTAAAAAACAACTCGGGATGAAAAGCCGGCCCCCGACCAGGGGTCGAGACCTCTGGGCGTCCACGCGGTGGAAAAATATGGCGCTGGACGCTTGGGGAGGGAGGGGGGGGAAAGGGGAGGGAGGAGGGAAAGGGAGGGAGGAGGGAAAGGGAGGGAGGGAGGGTGGCCACGCTGTGTTTGTTCGATCTGGGCTGGAGTCCGAAGCCGCTGTGGGGCATCGGCACCGCCCGCATGCTGGCCGCGAAGGCGTCGGTGCCAGAGGGGATCAATTTGCGCGTCCTGGCCAAAATTAAAGAAGGGGAAGCAAAGGGAGGATGAGAAGGGGAAGAAGGTAGACGAGGGGAGGGGGGGAGAGCACGAGGAGGAGGAGGAGGAGGAGGTGGAGGAGAAGGAGGAGGGGGGATGACAAGCTAGGTGCGCTCGCGTCATATCTGACATCCCACCCCTCCCTCCCATCCCTTACCATGGCGCAGATCCCCTCTCTACTCGCACAGTCGGATGTCGAGCAGGGCAATGATCCCGAAAGGGTACGCGATGCATTGTAGAGCACGGCATGGCATGGCGTAGAAGAGCACCGCAAAGCGTAGTATCAACCTAGCATTGCATTGCATGCCGTGGCATGGCACGGGAAATGACGCCAGCGCTGCAGCGGGAGCACGAGTCGAAACGAGCGGAAGCGCGGAAATGAGGCCAGCGCTGCAGCGGGAGCACGATTCGGAACGAGCGGAAGCACAGAAATGAGGCCAGCGCTGCAGCGGGAGCACGATTCGGAACGAGCGGGGCCCGAAAATAAGGCCGGCGCCTCAGCGAGAGCAGCATTTTGAAAAAAAGTGCAGGCGAAAACCCATATCCGGGGAAACCTGTGTGTCAAAAACAGTACGCGGGGGGGGTTCTGACACTTTCAAACCGCCATCAGGGGAAGAGGGAGAGTAGTATTCATATTGAGTAATTGTGGGGAGGAGGAGGAGGAGGAGGAGGAGAAACAGGAGAAAGAGGAGGAGGATAAATATACGGAAGAGGAGGAACAGGCAAATTAGAGGGCGAGAAGAGGGCCAACGCCAGAGCGAGAAGGCAAGGGCGGGGGGCAAGCCAAACCGGTTTCCATGCGGAGCCCGACCGTCGGAGTAATTTGACGAGCAAGCACGCGCGACACGCGCGCGCATAGCATCATTTGATCAGGATGGTTTGGTGGGGGTTCGAGCCTGGCTTGGTTGGGGCGGTTTGCGATCATCTTTAGAATCAGGGACGGGCCAGAATCATATGCAAACGTCACTTCGCATCCCCAGGAGGGGGGGCAATCCTTGGGAGTGGCCTACCTTGTTTTCCGCTCCAAGAAGAGATATCAACGCAAAACGACGCAGAGCAGCTCAAACCTACAAAGCAGTATTCACTACACAGTCATGCGTAGCAGTGCAAAGCCGTGCGAAGCCACCCAACGCCAGACAAACTATCTCAAATCGACGCACAGCGATGCGAAGCGATGCCCTCCTCCTCCTCCTTATCCTCCTCCTCGTCCTTCTCTTCCTCCTCCTCCTCCTCCTCCTCCTCCTCCTCCTCCTCCTTCATCTCCGCTTCCTCCTTTTCATCCTCCTACTCTTTGTTCCTCCTCCTTCTCTTCTCTTCCTCCTCCTCCTCCTCCTCCTCCTCCTCCTCGGGGAAAACGCAACGCCACACAACGCAGCGCGATGGCAGTGCACGGCGGCGACGGGCGGCCACGAGCCGGCCGGGCCGCCACTGGCAAGGGCTCCCCCGAGGGCGCGAAGTTATTCGCGCTTCGCGGTCCTCGTTCCTCCTCCCCCTCCTCCTCGTCCTCCTCTTCTCCCTTGGGAGGCGGCGCGAGAGCGCGAAGTTATTCGCACTTCGCGCTTCGCGCAGCGCGAAGCGCGAAATTGGGAGCCCTTGCATTGGAAATCAGCCATCATGTTAGAGAAAATCGGGGTTGGACAGACCTCCTACCCCGACACGTCGACTAAGGAATTGGCCGTTCTCGGTTCGCGAGAGGGCGTCGCGGCCGTCATTTTTGCGGGTCCAGGTCCGTCGGTTTCGGTCCCAGGCCGTTTTCATCAAGGGGGGGTCTACTAAAGGGAGGTTTGTCCACCGCCGAGAAAAAAAGGACACCCCGTGAAGCAATCAGTGTTTGGGGACCAAGAAACTACAAACAACAACAGATGACAACACACACAGCGCACAAAGCAGCACGGGACAAAACACCACGACGAACACACGCCACAGGACGTCCTCCCCGGCCCGGGCGCGTCGGAGAACTTCGCGAATTTCTCCGAGCCGAACCCGTTCGCGAGTTCGGACGGGCTGGACTTGTTCGCGGGGCGCGCCTGAGGCTCTGCCGCGGCCGCCCGAGGCCCGGCGCGGCAGGAACGAACACGGACAAAATGAGGACGAAGTGCCGTCAGCTGTTGTTCTCGGAGCTGGATTTAAGTCGGGCCTGTCCCTCTACATGGGGAATGTTCAAAAGCAGGCAAAAATAGTCGGGGGACGATTCTTTTAGTACGTTTGATTTTTCCGTTTGTTTGACTACATTTAACGTTTCGTCCAAAATCCCCTTGTTTCTGAGGTGGGACGGCCCAACATTGGTTCCGGCCAGCATGCATGGTGGGGATACAAAATGGGGGGCCCTCGTTTCCACGGCTGGACGCGGTTCGAGAATTTGCAATCATTCTCGACCTCGGGATTTCTGGGGAGACCGACTTTGAGCAAATTTGCCCCCATCCCCCTGTGTCGACACACTCTCCACTCTCTTGCGGCCCCTCCAGGTCAGACCCCCCGGCCGCCAGCAAAAACCTCCCCATTTTGAACGGGACTTGTTGCCGGTGTCGCCGCGGACCTTGCCCATTTGAGGCTCAAAGCCGCCTGCCCAGCGGCGCGGGCATCCGTGCCTGTCCCCCCCCGCACCCGCTTCGGGCGTGCAGAGAGGCGGGCGCCGGGCCTCGGCCGGGTCTCGCCGGGACCGGGGGGCCATTCGCGAGGCCGCGGCTGCCCCAGGGGCCCGCGACGTCCCCAAGTGTCTGATGGTTTGTTCATAATATATATATATATATATATATATATATATATATATATATATATACATATAACGGCGCACCGGGTCCGGGGGCCCGGGGCCGGGACCTCGACCACAAATGTGCGCCCCGGGGGGCCCGGAGGCTCGTCGGGGCTTGCCGGAGGCCTCCCCGGTCAGACAAGACGGCCCCAGGAGCGCCCAAGACGGCCCAAGAAACTTCCAAGAGGCCTCCAAGAGGGCTCCGAGATGCTGAAGATGGCCTCCAGACGTCCAATGACGCCCCCAAGAGGCCCCAAGAAGCCTCCAACATGCGTCCCAAGAGGGCCCCTAGACGCAAAAATTGGCCCATTCCCTTCGTAAAACGTACATTTTTCAACAAAGTTGCTTTTTGGGCTTTCCGACGTTACAGGACGGCCCACGAGGCGCCCAAGACCGCCCCAAGACGGCCCAAGAAGCCCCCAGGACAGCCCAAGAGGGCCCCAAGACGGCCCAAGAGGCGCCCAAGATGGCCCAAGAGGGCCCCAAGACGGGCCCAAGAGGGGGCCCAGAGGGGGACCACGAACCGCAAGCTCGAGCCTTCCGCCCCAAGAGGCCGCCAGGAGGCCCCCAGGAGGCCCCTCAAGAGGCCCCAGGAGACCCCAGACGTCCAAGGACGCCCCCAAGAGGCCCCAAGAAGCCTCCAACATGCGTCCCAAGAGGGCCCCTAGACGCAAAAATTGGCCCATTCCCTTCGTAAAACGTACATTTTCAACAAAGTCGCCTTTTGGGCTTTCCGACGTTACAGGACGGCCCAAGAGGCGCCCAAGACCGCCCCAAGACGGCCCAAGAAGCTTCCAAGAGGGCCCCAGGACAGCCCAAGAGGGCCCCAAGACGGCCCAAGAGGCGCCCAAGATGGCCCAAGAGGGCCCCAAGACGGGCCCAAGAGGGGGCCCAGAGGGGGACCACGAACCGCAAGCTCGAGCCTTCCGCCCCAAGAGGCCGCCAGGAGGCCCCCAGGAGGCCCCTCAAGAGGCCCCAGGAGACCCCAGACGTCCAAGGACGCCCCCAAGAGGCCCCAAGAAGCCTCCAACATGCGTCCCAAGAGGGCCCCTAGACGCAAAAATTGGCCCATTCCCTTCGTAAAACGTACATTTTCAACAAAGTTGTCTTTTGGGCTTTCCGACGTTACAGGACGGCCCAAGAGGCGCCCAAGACCGCCCCAAACGGCCCAAGAAGCTTCCAAGAGGGCCCCAGGACAGCCCAATAGGGCCCCAAGACGGCCCAAGAGGCGCCCAAGATGGCCCAAGAGGGCCCCAAGACGGGCCCAAGAGGGGGCCCAGAGGGGGACCACGAACCGCAAGCTCGAGCCTTCCGCCCCAAGAGGCCGCCAGGAGGCCCCCAGGAGGCCCCTCAAGAGGCCCCAGGAGACCCCAGACGTCCAAGGACGCCCCCAAGACGCCCCAAGAAGCCTCCAACATGCGTCCCAAGAGGGCCCCCAGACGCAAAAGTTGGCCCATTCCCTTCGTAAAACGTACATGTTCAACAAAGTTGTCTTTTGGGCTTTCCGCGCCCAAGATGGCCCAAGAGGGCCCCAAGACGGGCCCAAGAGGGGGCCCAGAGGGGGACCACGAACCGCAAGCTCGAGCCTTCCGCCCCAGGAGGCCCCCAGGAGGCCCCTCAAGAGGCCCCAGGAGACCCCAGACGTCCAAGGACGCCCCCACGACGCTTCGCGTCACCAATTTCTTCTCACAACGATTCCTGGGTCTGTGACTCGACAGAACCTAAGCGCGCGCGAAGCGCGCGCGTGGTTCTAGTATATATATATATATATATATATATATATATATATATATGTGGTCTTGGGGGGTATCGGGGAAACGCAAGACCCGAGTAAGCCAGAACTTGGTTTTGCTCACGTTTTTTTGACGAGCGCGTCCTGGATTTTGGCGGTCCAGTTTTCGTGGGATGTGTGCAGCGGGAGCTCGCGTCAAATTTCAGATTGGGCCTCGTCCATTTTTATGAGGGCCGAGTCGGGCAAATCCCGAGTCCCCCGCACCCGAGTCTTACGTCTCCCCGAGAGTAGGACGCTTTCCCTGGGGACCTGAATTTCATCCTGAAGCGTTGTTTACCGTCCCCGGCCCCGGCGACGCCATGTAGAGCCGATTTAAGCTCGGGGGCGGAAACGAGGGGGGTGATGACTAGGGGGGGGGGATATCATGGCGGGGGTCATGATATTTCGCCAGATTTCATGGCGCCTCTTCTTATTTCATTACGTCCCTGGCCCCCCCGCTGGGCCGCGCACATGCCGCCGGTCATGATTTGCACCCCCCCCTCTTGGACACCCCCCTCTTGGCCGCTCCCGATAAGCGCCGAAACACCTCCACATTGTTTTGTTCACGACGTTGGATCTCTGGGTTTCTCTAGCGCCGGCCTCGCCAAGGTCGTGGCGGCCGCGCAGCGTCGACGGCCAGCGGCGGCGCGGCGGTGGCGCGGCGGTGGCGCGGCGGTGGCGCAGCGCCGGGCCCGCCCAGGTCAGGGCAGCCGCCCTTCGGCGACGCAGCGCCGGCCCCGCCCAGGGCGCGCGGGCCCGTGCCGCGCGCCCCGCGCCGCGGGGGCCGCCGCTGCTCTGGGCGCCGCGCAGCGCGGGCGCCGCGCCGAGGGCTGGCGGCCGCGGCGTCGTCGGCGGCAGCGCGGCGACGCCGTCGCCGAGGTCGCCCCACTGGAGCCAGCAACGGGCCCAGCTGCAGCCGACGGCGGCGGGCGGCCTCGCGGCGATCTCCGCGGCCTGCCCTTGTCGGCCGCGGGCCGCGCCTGGGGCGCGGGCGCCGCGGGGGCGAAGCGCTGCGGGGCCACCGCGCGGTGGAGACCGAGGCGGGCGCCGCGTGGGCACGGCAGGCGGCGGAGCCCGAGGCGGGCGCCGAGGCGGCGGTCCGCACAGGCGCCGAACGGCGCGCCCCCGCGAGCGGCTCCGCGCGGCGCCCCGGCCCGCGAGCGGCGCTGCGCGCGAAGTTCGCGCCGTGTTGGCACCGGCGGCGAGTTCGCACGTCGTACGTCGTCGTCGTCGTCGTCGTCGTCCGTCGTCGTCGGCGTCGGCGTCGGCGTCGGCGTCGGCGTCGGCGTCGGCGTCGGCGTCGGCGTCGGTGTCGGCGGCGGCGGCGGCGGCGGCGGCGGCGGCGGCGTCGGCGTCGGCGTCGGCGTCGGCGTCGGCGTCGGCGTCGGCGTCGGCGTCGGCGTCGGCGTCGGCGTCGGCGTCGCGGTCGGCGTCGGCGTCGGCGTCGGCGTCGTCGGCGTCGTCGGCGTCGTCGTCGTCGGCGTCGGCGTCGGCGTCGACGTCGACGTCGGCGTCGGCGTCGGCGTCGGCGTCGGCGTCGGCGTCGGCGGCGTCGGTGGCCAGAGATTCCCTTGAAGCCCCGAGAGGCCCCCAGGAAGCCTTCATGATGCCCGAAGAGGCCTCCAAGAGGCCTCCAGGAGGCCCCCAGGAGGCCCCCACGAGGCCCCCCAAAAAGTCAAATTCATATATTTGGTAATAGGTTTTGAAGGATTTTCGCGTTCTCGCTTTTCCAGCTTTCCCACAGTCCAAGGCGGACCAAGAGACCTCCAAGATCGCACCAACACTACCCAAGAGGCCCCCAAGAGCGGCCCAACCTACCTCAAGAGTCTCCCTAGAGAGCCCCAGAGGCCTCCAAGGCGACCTCACAGCGGCCCCAGGAGGACCCTCGCACGGCCAAAGACGGCTCCAAAAATCGTCTACGCGGTCCTACAGCGGCCCCAAGAGGGCCCCAGGGGTGTCCAAAAAGGCCAAAAGAGTGCTCCGAGAGGACCCAAGAGCGGTCACGCGAGAGAGCGCTTGCGTGACTGATGCTTTGACTGCTTGGGGCACCCTTGGACGCCCCTGCGGCCTTCGTGGGGCTATCCCAAGCCGTCTTCGAGGATCCTGAACGCTCCTGGAGGGCCCCAAGATGGCCACTTGAGATTTCCAAGGGGACCCCAAGAGCGGTCGCGCAAGCTGTCTCGCGAGAGTGGTGTTGGCGCTGGTGTTGCTGCTGGTGGTGCTGCTTGTGCTGCTGCTGGTACGGGGAGCCGGGGGCCCAGGCGAGGACACCCTCCCAGATCCTCCCTCCTTGTCGGCCCACGACATGGCTGGCCCCTTCAGGGCCTCCCGGGACCCCCCCCAGCCGCTCAAATGTTTCTGGGAACCACCAGCATTGGACCAGATCGGCATAGCAGGGCCGAAGCCGCCCGAGGAACTTGTCCCAAGATGGGTCAAGAGGCCCCGAAGATGTCCTAAGAAGTCTCTAAGATGCTCCCCGAGAGGGCCCCGAGGCCAAAATTGTTGCAT